ACCTATTAATTAAATTATGATTCAATATACCTTTCTCACATAAGGAATTAACATGCTTAGGATCAATAGCTAATGCTTTGTCCACCCATTTGATTGCTTCTTCATATTAATTTAATTATGCTAAACATGAACCTATTAATTAAATTATAATTCAATATACCTTTACACCATAAAGAATTATGGTTATTGAGATTTTATTATATTGATTTATCTAATATTGCAAGAGCCTATTCATACTTATATTCTCTAAATAATTAATAACCTAAGATATGATAATAATATAATTAATACCTTTTTAATATAATTCTTCAGATATTTTAATACAATTATCATCATTTTTATAATAATTAAATGATGATAATTATAATTATTGATATAAATTATTAAATGAATTAGTTAATTTTTTAGTCTATTCTACAATGATTGTTGTAATTGATTGTTTATATTCATTAAATTTGATTGTAGAATTTAAGAAATCATTTATTTATTAAGAATTCAAAAGTACTAATTTTTGTTAATATAATTAATATTTCTATCTGATTCCCATTTTTAATTAAGAAAATGATTGATTCACACTTTCTACTTATTAGTTAAGATCATCAATCAAATTATCACATTCTTTATTTTTATTTTCAATGAATTCAATTAAACTATTGATTTTTTCAACATCATCAAAATGATCTTGATGGATTCTTCCTTTTTTTTAACATTTAAAACAATTTAATCTGAATTCTGTACAAAATTAATTGTAACAAACTATGTCTATTTCATCTTAATGATCATCCTATTAACATTTTAACTTTAAATTCAATTACTAAATCATTTTTTATATTTTATATCTAATTTATATTCATTCAAACCACTATTTAAATTATCCTAATTCTATTAAAATTTATATAACCCTAACTCTTGATATTTGTCTAATGAGTAGCCCATTAATATATTCATGAAACAATAAGTATATTTTTTTTATTTTATGTATCTTTTAGTCGATATAATTAATCATTAAATTTCTAAATAAAATTCTCAAAAAAAATAATATAATATTTATAATATCTTTAAAACTCCTTTTTTATTATTCTTTGTATTTTATTCTGCTAAATATTTCTATAGATTGCTCTAATTTGATTTAACTTATATATCAATTAACCTTTAGTATCATTTTGAATGAGTAAGCTAAAATTTGATTGATAATAAATCTTTTTCTTAAATACTATTTAATCTCTTTTTAACTTCAATCCTCTCTAATTTTACAATTTAACTAAGAGAGCTGAGTTGATTTCAAATTATTTGAGTTAAATCATGTTTCTTCATCATATAAACAACAACTTTAACATAAAACTTTTATATTCACAATATGATTATGAAATGGTCTTGAAATAAATTAATATTATTTTATATATTTTTTCCTTATTAATTTTATTTTTTTTTAATTCGTCACCTTTTTTAAATTTTCA